GTGGCAGAAGACGGTCTCGAAGGTACCCAGGTCCAATGCCATGGAGCGCTTTAAAGGTGGTAACCAACACCTTGAATCGCACCCGGAAGACCACCGGGAGCTAGTGCAGCTCGCGCAGGAGGGGGTGTCACGTGGGCACAACGAGTTGCGCCCATAACCATAGCAGCCGCTATGATTTAATAGCATAGCATAGCATAGTTCAGTTGTGGAAATATTTCATCATCTTGGTGGAGCTGATTGCTCTCCATGAGTGATGATAGGCAATTCCTGTGGCTGCTAATCCAAACCTTCTATTAGTTTCTGGGGGTATTAAGTCAGAAAAAAAAATTCATTTAGAATAGTAGTAGATGGTTCTGCTTAAATAAGAGATTAGAGATTAAGGTAGTTAATTTTAGTAAAGAAAAAGCATATGCAAAGAAAGGAAGAATGTCATCTCAATCAAATACAATAACATTTATGGATATAACAATGTGTGCCTAGCCACTTAATTTGTTTCTCCTAAGCATCTCTATATGTTAACACAAATTTGCTACTTCCAGAAGGCAGCCGACAGCTTGATGGTTGATGTTGTATATAGTTTGCTTTTTAAAAAAAATCTAGGCTTTTGCTTGTTTGATACGTGTATTTTTTTCCAGAGAGGAATCAAAATATTCAGTGTTTTTCCATCTTGGCTAAGAAAGGGTTCAGTTACAAAAACCACAATTTTATTAATGTATGCAAATGAAATTAAAGTGTGGTACTTGGGCATTCAACTGAAGAACAAGTGAAGCCCACCTGACAAGATTAAGTTTTCCCTAAACGAGCCTTCATTGATACAGGCAGCATGCCTATATATTATATATTCATAATATATGCCCATATATTATGAAACTAGTGCTTAACTAGTTTCTTTTCTTTTAAGTTTATTTTCTTATGCATCAGAGGTTACTGTCTTGCTCTCTTTCTTGCCCCACTTGACCACTGTTAATTGCTGTTGATGGTTTTACATTGATCTTTATCAGTGGTCTCCAACCCCTGTTCTTCAGATGATACCGGTCCGTGGCCCATTGGGAACCAGGCCATGAAACTGGCAGGCGAGCGCACAAAACTCCATTTGCTCAAGTGGTGGGAACACACATGGGAAACCATACCCTCCCCACTGCTGCCAGTCAATGAAAAGATTGGGGACTAGTGATCTATACAATGTCAGTATCTTTTTAAAAAGCATGTAAAGTAATTGTAAGATCTGGTGGAAGTGATTTAAATGTTCTTATCATTGTAAAGCATTGCGCTTGTGATACTTGCAATTTGTCTTTCAAGGTTGCAACTGTTGTGCTATCCCCATGATTAAGTGATCAGGATTTGGGTGCTTAACAGATATGGTAAAAATAACATGACTCAGTTAATGACTGTTCCACTTAGTGACTGAGATTCTGGTATTCATTGTGGTCATAGGTTGAGGACTACCTTTATGTGCAATTTAGTCCATGTAAAACTGGCCAAACTGTGAACAAAATGTCTGGTATGTAAATATTATAAAATAGAACGTTAAAAATGCAAAATTCCAAATTTGTTCATTCCGTGCATCAATGAAATAAACATATCTCTATATATCTTTCAGTATTCTGAATTTCAATCATCTTGCTTCTGATATAAATCAGGGGATAGCTTAGCTTGCAAGGTTTCCCCAACCAAGTCTAGATAGGTGGTGTATGTATCTAATGTCTCTGTGTGAAGACATATACTGCCATTCAAATATCCAACCCATCAGCTTATTCAACAGAGGAATCTAAATTCAGGCTTTCCAGATAACTAACTACCTAGCCTCTGGTTGAACATCCATTGAAGAGAAAGGTATCACCTCAATGGGTTCCAACATTTAACTTTTCTTACTGTTAGATAGTGATAGCTTTGCAATTCTGTTTATTTCTAACACTGACTTTCAAAATATGCATTCCTATAATTTGAATGCATTATTTTATGTCTTTCACTTTGGAACTATACAGAATAGATTCTAATTTTCTGTGTGATATCAATTCACCTCCCATCCTTTCTCCACAGTAAGGGGAGAATGGATTAACTTGTGATTGGACAAAGTTTTTTCATATTTGTTCAAAGCAGAATCACTTCCAATGATTTGGAAACTGGTGCAATTTTAAGTTGTACTACCTTTTTTTCCTTATTATATATTGCAGTAACTTTAGATTGCTAGTCTACAGTCCACTACTATTCCAAGAACTTGTTCAAAGACACTATTATTGAGCCAGGTTTCAATCATTCTATAACTGAACCTTTGTTATATGTTTCTAGTATATACAGGTAGTTCTTGTTTAGCGACCACAACTGGGGTTAGCAACTCAACGATCAGATGAAGTGGTCATTTAGTGAAACCACCACTTTGTGTATATCATTTCTTTTGCTTGTAGACCTGCAAAGGTCATAAATATGAGGACTGATTGCAAACTTACTTTTTCATCACCATTGTAACTGCAATGTCACTAAATGAAGCAGTTGCTAAACAAGAACTACCTCTTTCTATATATGCTAATCCTTTTATATTCAAAATATAAAGAAAGTAAAACTGTAGTAACCAAAATAAAATCAAAGCAGGAGATAAGTGAGAAAAGAAATTCTAATTCAGGTTTGCACTTGATATAATATTGTTGTACCTTTTTATATCTTGTTGCCCTTGCAAATGCTCATTGCTTCAAACACCCCCATTATATGCTGCCTTTTATTCCTTAAATTTATGTCTCTCTTTTTGAGTATCTCATAAACTCCATCCAACTAAATACTTTTCATTTGTATGCTGTCCATATTCATTCATCACCCATTAAGTATCTGTTCCTACTGCATTTAATTTTCTATTATATGTCTTCTAATTCACAAACATACATACCCAACACATGCAAACACATATCTCTTATATACGGGTAACAAACTGAATAAAAGCATGTTCTTATATTTAACAATTTTGCTTCTTTTGGCAAACATTTTTTTTCACTGAACGTACACTACTCCCCACAATTGTATGAACATTTGCAAGTTTTAACAATTCTCAATCATTTTTCATATATTTAATAAATATTCTTCCCGGATAGCTACTGTATGTCCACACTCTATGTTTTTTCACCAAAGCCCAGTTTTAGTCCATAGATTATATCACACATTATGGAAGTTAGGATCATTAGTAACTGCCTCACAAGCCAAAATACCATTCTATGTATCCCATCAAGTTACAGGATCCATTTCTGTTTCTTAAGATACAGATATTCACTTCGCTTGACAATATTTGTATAGTCAGTCATTCACTTGCAAGATTATTCAGTTCTGTTTATGGTTTCCACTTGAGTTCCCCATGGCTTGAATTTCTTTCAGAATCTGTAATACTACAACCTATAGTATAGTAATAGCCACTGTTTTGCAGTATTGTTCGTCTTTTCCCTCTCTCATGTATTAGCAAGCAGAAATAATCAATGGACTTGTCTTAGAAGTTACTCTGCCATGTCCATGATCCTGTTTCCTGTTCCATCTCATTTCCCCTATTTTTTATTTCATAAGAGAGCCTGAACACTTTCTGAATTCCAATAATGTAGAAGATGATACAATTTTCTTACTTCTGCTTGCTATCTTTTTCTGTTGGGTTTGCTTGGTTTAGTGTCTTCCTTATTGAAAGTTGCTTTCACTGTCAGTTTCTGTTGTATGATTTCCTTTCTTTGAACTGATAAATCTTTATTCTTTCTGATCAGTTGAAGTGGCTGCTTGCTGCCTCAATACATCAACTTTTTCTTCCAAGGGCTGCCAGTAGTTTACAGTGTTTCAAGAATGTATGTTAGATTTTTCTCATGCAGGAAGGCTAACATGCCAGAAGTATTGTAGGTCACCAGGGTTTACTCCTGCCCATCTATTTTTGAAGTGCTTGTATTATTTACTGGCTATTCATCTATATAACATGCTTTCCCATTTTTAAGGTCCTTTCATGCTTCCTAATATTTCTTACTAGCCATATTTAAAATTTTTAAACCCTGATGTGATTAAAATAGTTTTAAATTTATTATGGATAAGAAACAGAATTAATACACCTGGTGTCAGCTATATTTGAGTAACATAATTAAAATGAAAGGACTTGAGGATATTAAAAATATCCTGCTGGCTGGAGGACACTGTGCCATCTCTAGTCTTAAACCAATAAATAACATTTCTAGTTTTTTTTAAGAGGATATTTATATGATGATTCCTTTTTTGCATTAGATAAAATAGCAAAGATGGGCCAGAAGCTCTGCCTAATTAGAAATTACTCTAGTTAGTGCAGAATCTGAAAGGTGACATGAAAGGAATGAAGAACATGTAAGCATAACAGTTCAAACTTATTTGTATCACATGTTCTTCTTCACAATACTGTTATATCATGGTACTATCTTTACAATTTTCTTCCTTTTTGTGCAGCCATTGCATGGTTAATATAAGGTTTATGTGCAATCGAAGCTTATTTCAGTAAAGTGTTTTGAAATGTTTAAAATTACTTTCAATAGGTGGGAGAATTACAAAACATCAGAGCAGTAGTATAATGAAGCAGTTAACCATTCTTGCAAAGTTTTGTTTGTTTCTAAGTGTAAAAAACCCTAATGTATTAAGTATCCCATATTCTTACTTAGCAGCAGTGAAAAACAGTGCAAAGAGAGAGAGAGGGGGAAGAGATATGATTTGGGGTTGAAGTCAAACAGCTTAAGTCTTCTTTTAAAAAAAAGTCAATTGACCTTGTTTTATACAAGGGAGAAGGTATAATAATGCTAAGGTGAAAGACTATCTCCATTAGTAAGTCAGAAAGACCAGGGGCACTTATCTCTGAACAAATTAACAAAAACAGATAACACTGATGAAGTCATTATCTCAGCCTAATCACATTTTAATGTTATTGGATGGTCGATGATATCTTTTTTTATTGAAAAAGTCTATTAACTAAGAAGCTATTGCATGGAATATTTGCATTTTCTAATTCTTAATGCGTTTTCTATTAACAGATACAGAAGTGGTATATAAAAACAGGAATGGACATGTTATTAAACTGAATGTAGAAACAAACACAACTACATTATTGCTGGAAAACGCAACTTTTGTAAGTATTACTGCTTTATTTTAAATAAGAAATTACATTGCTATGTTATTCCTGAATCTATATGCAAAAATTATTTCAAGTCTATCTCATGTATAATTTTGAATGTGGCATGCTACTGTTCCTGCTTTGTGGAGTAATAAATAAACAAGAGACCATGAGACCAGCAAGACTGATTGATATTGATTGGTAGTACAGATACATGCCCTCCTTATTGAAAAATCAAGTGATTATTTAAAACATGCGGGTTACTGAATCAACAATCTTTATGCCATGTAATTATTGATGCCACTCTTCTATTGAATTTTATTCTATTTTATTCTATTTTTTATATTTTTTATTATATTTATTTAATATTATTATATTATATTATATTTATTTATTATATATTATATTATATTTATTATATTTTATTATTCTATTTTTTTTGTAAGAACTGTTGTTTAATGTAAACTTTAAAAAGGACAAATGCCATATAAAAATATAATCTTTATTGGTTATGACTGTACTTGTAAATTTTAGCAAATAAAAGCTTCAACATTTATAAAATCTGTTCAGTAGAAGTCAAGCTTATTCTTCTCTGAAGGTAATCAGATAGCATTTTTTCCAGCTAACAAATGTTATTAAAAGGTATAAATTTAATGAGCTGCAGTTCATGTTGCTGCAAGTCATGTTATCAGGTGTGCATTTTAATAACATTGTTGGCTGGAAAAGGTGTTACCAGATATTTGTCTATCTGTCCTTCTACATTGGACAATATCTGCTTCTTTGCTATCACTCACTTCAGTTCTATGAATTGGAATTGTTGAAAGATTTAACCTGGAATTAGTGAAATAAAAGATGAGGTCGTAGCAATTTGATAAGCAGTAAGTATAGAATTAATTTATGTTCAATATAGAACTACTTGAGTGTGTATAACTAATTTATTCATTAAGATTGAAAGAAAATTGTGTCACTGGAATCTGTGAAAGCAAGAAAATTAAAGGTGGAAAATGAAAAATATCTGCTTGAAGTGTTGTGTTATCATGCTCCATTTGTCACTGTCAATTAGAGAATTTAATCTCAATCATGAGAGCTGCTTTCCCCCCCCCAAAAAAGCAAGATTTATTGCTATTAATTTCACAGTTATATTTAATATATAGAAGCCATGGTGGCACAGTGGTTAGAATGCAGTATTACAGGCAAACTCTGCCCACAGCCAGGAGTTCAATCCTGACTGGCTCAAGGTTGACTCAGCCTTCCATCCTTCTGAGGTTGGTAAAATGAGGACCCAGAGTGTTGGGGAAAATATGCTGACTCTAAATCTGCTGTAAAGTACTATGGAGTGGTATATAAGTCTAAGTGCTAATGCTATTGCTAGTACTACTGGTATAATTCCAATTAATCAAACAGAAAGACTCAATTCACCCAAGATGTCCTGTCTTTTAAAGCACGTAATAGTTTATTAATTCATCAGTATGGATTACAAAGCTAAATTACCAACTACTTTTTGTTGGTTGTTTTTGCATTTCATAATGATAAGACAATATAATGATTTAACACTATTAAACTAATACTTTTTATGCTATTTTTTTGTGGGCCACAAAGCACCATGTTAAAAATTGAAAATAGAAAAAAAACTACAAAACATTGTAATTATAAAAGAAGGAAACGTATTTACCCAGGATACTTCCTGTGAGAAGCAGATTTCATTAACACTGTCCAGAAAAATTATCCTGCATTTTTACCTTGGCTTTGACATTGTTTTCAAATTAGAAAAGGAATTTAGAAAAATTGTTATGGGCCGAATGAAATATTCTTTCATGTAGCCTAGTGTCTCTGTATGTATGTGATTGTCCTTCTTTCACTGTACAATTATCGTGGCTTCCATGCTTTAATTCAGTTCCAAAGAGGACATACAGAGTTTATCCCATGGAACTTTCTCAGATTGGGCAGTTTCTGAGTACAAAACATTATGATAACATCTGAGATATCCCATAGAATTCTGCATTATTGCAAAATGATTTAAAAGGAGACGGTAGATAAAACTATATCATATGCAGCATTATGTTAACATGCAGTTCTCTTAGTTTTTGTTTCATTTAATTTTATTAGATGTTTCCTTGCTACAATTATAATTTGAGCCTTCTTTTATATCAGATCCATTAAATCTTCCTATCACCACCAATAATTCTTGATTAAATTGTTGTCTCAAACTCAATTGGGTGTCATGTATCCTTAGCTCGACAAAAAGTAATATTAGTTTGATATTGCTGCTTTTTCCTCTATATTTACCACATTAGTGAGAAGAGTTTGTTTTCATTTCTAAACAGAAAGATCAGAAGAAAATAGTTAAAAACAACTAGATGTGTGATACATTTTCAGAAATCATGCTGCTGTCTTTTCCAAAGTAATTTGCTTATGGCAAAGATAGACTAGACTTCCATAAATAACTGAGCTGTTTCGAGTTCTGCCACAGGTTACAAATTTATCCATAATTATTTAGATCCATGTTTACATAAAATCTGAAAATTGCTTTTAGAGTGAAATTTAAAGGTCATTTTAAGGATTTTATGCTGTTTACCAGGATTTTCATCCTTTTTTTCCCCTTTTCTTTTGAACAGTAAATCAACATGTTATAGCACTAATTGCTTTGAAAGGTTCCGAAACTTTAGTTTTACTGTTGTTCTTAAACATTAAACGTAGTTATCTGAAGCATGAAATGAGTTAAAATGAATATTTTACAAAGAATATTAGCATCCCTAGTCCAAGTAGTAAATTAGTAACATTCCCTGGAAGACTTACACTACTTTTTTAAAGGTAGTTCATATTAGATTAAGTGTGCAAACACACTGTGGGCACTGACAGCAAACCAAAATGTTTGTAGTATTTGCAGGAAGAGATTGTGGAGGAGGAGCAAATGACTAAAAAAACTCCCAGCGTTGCAGTAGCAGCTCCACTCCCTTTGTGTGTTGTATCATGAGATTCATAAACTAAAGCAGTAAAGATTGTAGTATTTGTTTTCATTATTTTTTAAAAAGGCATCAGATCTTGCATATGTGCACATAGATGCACATGCCTTTGAGGACAGAATTCTACAAGATGTGGCTGCTTTAACATTGCAAAAAAAAGTTCTTTGTTTGCATTAACAAACTTTGTGACAAATTTTGAATGCTTTCCATAGCCCTGGTACATTGAATGTCTTCTGTTGTGCCTATAATCAACTATGTGAGACAGGACAAGTTATTTGCAGGATCAACTCTCCCTGAGGGCTTCTGCTTATCCTATCAGATTTGATAGAATGAATGTACTCCAGATCTCTGTCCTTAAATGTTACCACCTGATGGGACCTCAATGGCTGCCCCAGTCCTTTGGAACAATATCCCACCTGATATCTGAGAAATCCCTACTCTTTTAGCCTTCTGGAGGTTTTTGAAGACTGGCCTTTCCCCCAAGCATTGGGCTAGGATGGGGATGAGCTATGAGGATGTTTTGTCTGGAGCGTGCTGGGAAGGGTACTTTTGTTTTTAACCATGTTTTTATGGATTGTTGTGAGCCTCCTAGAGTCATTACATCAGCCACAAGACCATATCCACAAGACCATAGCAGTCCTGTAAATAATCTTATTCATTTATATCTCCATAGGTAACTTTCAAAGCATCCAGATATTCAGTATCTCCAGATTTAAGATATGTTCTCCTTGCTTATGACATTAAACAGGTAAGCACAAATTGAAACATTAAGTACTAAAATATATACTATTAATTGTCTGAACAATGTTATAATGAAATAGCCTGGAATCTGAAATAAATACGCTTTAACATAGTATACTGTTAATGAATTGGAATCAGAACTGTATTTACAGGGGTTTTTTTGTTAAGTTTTTTGTTATTTTTTTGTTAAGTTGGATTTGAGTAGTATTTGAACAAAGGGCATGTATATAAGACTGTTCTGATAGAATCACCATTCTTAATTGTTTAAGGATAACTGATGTCTTTACAATAATGTAACTTTATGAGGTAAAAGTCTGACAAAGATCAGCAATCAGGAAACTTACTTTAAAAATAAACAGTAAATGAGAACTGGGTATATCAGATCAGGAAGATTATAACTGAATATTTTTTATGTTATGTGAGAATCTTGACTAAAACTGAACCCACCCAGTGATGTTGAGTCTGTGGAGAAAATACCATGACATTTGTTCTGTACTTGATAAAGTAAAAGCTTAAATAAAATAATTTGATTATATAAAGCAAGTGATATAGGATAAAATATTACCAAATTACCATGCTTAGGATTTGGCCTTGAGCTGATAAAGGATCCTTTAGTAGTTTGGATCCCATTTTAGGAAAAGTACTAATTGCAGATTTCTAATTTTATTGTTGTGGTCCGCCAGCAGCCTGAGGAACTGGCAGTAGAGTCGGACAGTGAGGAGACTGGGGAGGAACATGGAGTCTGGAGAAGGCTCGGACGAGGGCTCTGCGTTGGAGGCAGAGATGGGGCCAGGGCCATATGGGAGTTATGTGCGGACACCAGAGCCTCCAGAGTCTGACGTCAGCGAGGCAGAGGAATAGGGGAGCCTGTTCCTAGTGCACGCATGCACAGAGCAGGTAGAAGGCAAGAACTGTTAAAACAAAAGGGACAACTCAGGAGTAAGGCTTGGAGATGATTGGCCCCTCCCATAAGACATAAAGGAAGAGCAAAGGCATGTGGGGTCTTTGCAGGAAGCAATGTTGTGATGGTGTCGGTTTGTACTTTGAAGCTCTGTTTTTGACTCTGTGTTTCTGTGTGGCTTTGCCAAGATAATTGCCAATTAGGTCTTTGGCAGTGTGTCAAAGAAGATAAAGGACGCCTAGGTCAGAACATTTATATCTATTTGGTTCTGACAGAAATGATGGTGGTGGTGGTGATGATGATAATTTTCTGATTTATTGAATTCATCAGTTGCTACAAAAGTATTGTATCATAAATGTTTAGGGTTCCTTAAAAAACCCCCACAAGAATAGCTTGTTTGTTTTGGAATGATTATTCAAGCTACTTTCCTGGAACAAATTTTCATGCATACATAAGCAAACTAGTAATGTGATGTGCTTAGAACAAGAACAAGTGCATTTTGTTTTAAAACAGTATATTATTATAAATTAAATTTACAATATTTTTTCTAATAAAACTCTATTGGGTTGAATATAGAGAATATGAATGAAAATAGCATGGAACCTAAAACGCATTGCACAATCCACATGACATAGAATTTGCATTGCATTTTCATGTGTACTGAGTACCATGAGTGTTTTGCAATCATTTCACATTTATTTGTTGTTGTTGTTGTCATTGTTAGTCATGAAGTCGTGTCCGACCCATCGCGACCCCATGGACAACATTCCTCCAGGCCTTCCTATCCTCTACCATCCCCCTTAGTCCATTTAAGCTCATGCTGACTGCTTCAGTGATTCCATCCAGCCACCTCATTCTATGTTGTCCCTTTCTTCTTTTGCCCTCAATCGTTCTCAGCATTAGGCTCTTCTCCAGTGAGTCCTTCCTTCTCGTTAGGTGGCCAAAGTATTTGAGTTTCATCTTCAGGATCTGGCCTTCTAAAGAGCAGTCAGGGCGATCTCCTCTAGGACTGACTGATTTGATCGCCTTGCAGGCCAAGGGATTCGCAGGAGTATTCTCCAGCACAATAGTTCAAAGCCCTCAATTCTTTGGCGCTCAGCCTTTCTTATGGTCCAACTTTCACAGCCATACATTGCAACTGGGAAAACCATAGCTTTGACTATTCGCACTTTTGTTGGTAGGGTGATGTCTCTGCTTTTTAGTACGCTGTCTAGATTTGCCATAGCTTTCCTCCCCAGGATCAAGTGTCTTTTAATTTCTTGGCTGCAGTCCCCATCTGCAGTGATCTTGGAGCCCAGGAAAATAAAATCTGTCACTACCTCCATTTCTTCCCCATCTATTTGCTAGGATTGAAAGGGCCGGATGTCATAATCTTAATGTTGAATTTCAGGCCAACTTTTGCACTCTTCTCCTTTACCTGCATCAAGAGGCTCTTTAGTTCCTCTTCACTTTCTGCCATTAGAGTGGTAGAGTAGTATCTGAGGTTGTTGATATTTCTCCCGGCAATCTTAATTCCAACTTGTGATTCATTTAGCCCCATCTTTCTCATGATGTGCTCTGCACATAAGTTAAATAGGCAGGGCAACAGTATAAAACCTTGCCGAACCCCTTTCCCAATTTTGAATCAATCAGTGATTCCGTATCCAGTTCTCACTGTTGTTTCTTGACCTGCATATAAGTTTCTCAAGAGACAAATAAGATGGTCTGCTACTCCCATCTTTTTAAGAACTTGCCACAATTTGTTGTGATCCACACTATCAAAGGCTTTAGCATAGTCAATGAAGCAGAAGTAGATGTTTTTCTGGAATTCCCTAGCTTTTTCCATGATCCAGTGTATGTTGGCAATTTGATCTTTAGTTCCTCTGCCTCTTCGAAATCCTGCCTGTACTTCTAGTAGTTCTTGGTCCACATACTGCTGGAGCCTAGCTTGTAGGATTTTGAGCATAACTTTGCTAGCATGTTAAATGAGTGCAATGGTGCGGTAGTTTGAACATTCTTTGGCATTGCCCTTCTTTGGAATTAGAATGTAAACTGACCTTTTCCGATCCTGTGGCCACTGTTCAGTTTTCCAAATTGGCTGGCAAATTGAGTGTAGCACTTTTACTGCATTGTCTTTCAAGATTTTAAATAGCTCAGCTGTAATACTTTTACCTCCACTAGCTTTGTTGTTGCTCAGACTTCCTAAGGCCCATTTGACTTCACATTCCAGGATGTCTGGCTCGAGATCAATGACTACCCCATCGTGGTTATTAGGGATGTTAAGCTTGTTCTTGTATAGTTCTTCTGCGTAATTTTGCCACCTCTTCTTAATCTCTTCTGCCTCTATTAGGTCTCTGCCATTTTGGTCCTTTATCATGCCCATCTTTGCATGAAACGTTCCCTTCGCATCTCCAATTTTCTTGAAGAGATCTCTGGTCCTTCCTATTCTATTGTTTTCTTCTATTTCTTTGCACTGTTCATTTAATATGGCATTCTTATCTCTTCTAGTTATTCTCTGGAATTCTGCATTCAATTGGGTGTATCTTTCTCTTTCTCCCTTCTCTTTCACTTCCCTTCTTTCCTCAGCTATTTGTAAAGCTTCCTCAGACAGCCATTTTGCTTTCTTGCATTTCTTTTTTCTTTGGGATGGTTTTAGTTGCTACCTCTTCTACAATGTTGCGAACCTCAGTCCATAGTTCTTCAGGCACTCTGTCTATCAGATCTAATTCCTTAAATCTATTTGTCACCTCTACTTTATATTCATCAGGAATATGATTTAATTCATACCTGGGTAGCCTAGTGCTTTTCCCTACTTTCTTCAATTTAAGCACATTTATTTAGCGTATGGCAAATACATGGACTTATAGTGGTTCAAATGTTAATGTCCAGTTCACCCAGCCATTCAAGGACAGGGTGGTCCATGCTGAAAAAATCAGACACCAGGCCGGTGCAAGCTCTTGGTGGACATTCAGACACAATGTGATGGACATTTTGTTGAGGAGCACCACAGTCACACTGACAAGTAAAGACAAGACCCCACTTAAACAATGAGTCCCTGCAGATCTGTTGGGTACGGATCCTGCTCAGAGCTGACCAGGGCTGTTGAAGAAGGTCAAAATCTGGCGATTATCCATTGCCATGTATTTAGAAAGCCAGGAGTTCTTCAAAGATGTCTGGCTGCCAACTGTCGTTAACTGCCAATTCTTCAATGTAGTCTGGCTGCCAATTGATGCTAGTTGTTTGGTTCACACTACTGTTCTATCCAGGGTACAGCACGAGGAGGCGCACTAGCATCATTTTTCACAATTCACATGCTAGTGGATTGCATGAGATTACATTGCCATTGTTACTATTACTGAGGAAAAGAAAAGCTGAGCAAAAAGCTGACTTACGATTTTTCAGTTATCTTCTTAGTTATGTTCTCTTTCACCAGTTTCTGAAAAAGTTTTAGAATGGTGTAGAGTTTTTATATATCCAAGATACTTTGATTGCCACAAAATCAGGAAAAGAATTCAGAAGACATGAGATTGGATCCGTTGTAGGTTTCAACAAAGAAGGTGAGCTCTCTTTATGATGACTTCATGGGTTTACCATGCAGTTTCCTGGAAAATAACGCAGAAGTGATTTGTTGCTTCCTTCTTTCAGAATTCTTTTCTCCTGGAAAAAAAAACCTATATATTTTCAAAATTGCTTTCACAGATATGTCTGCCTCATATTCTTAGATAATTTTAAATATATAACCAATTACTTACAGGATGTGTTAATAAACAATTAATGAACTTGAATCTATTACTACAATTCTTAGCTTCTGAAATGTTCTGAATTAATAGATCTAGCTGCTGTAATTACAGTCAAGAAATCAACTTTCAGGGTAGACAGCTAGGGCTTGCAATATAAGTTCTTATTGTGAAGTATTTCTCTTAAAACGTCTAGCAATTCCATATGATATATATCCTCTTTGTGCCCCACTGCCTTCAGCCAGCTAACTTTATTACTATTTATTAAATTATGTACTGCATTTCAGTCCTGAGGGCATTTGGGCAGTTATTCCATTCCATTTATTGCACATATGATCAGCTCTCCTGTGTATGCATAAGTTTTGTCTATTCCCTCTTTTATTTTCTCAA